CACCAAACCACAAAGTCACTTAAAAATGTTGAAAGGGAATGTCATGAAGGTAAAATTCCTTCTTCTATCATGTTTTTCATGCAATTTTAGGTTGTAAACGTTTTGTCCAACACCTTTTTTACAATTTATCCCAAGCAACACTATGAAAGATTTAAATCCTGGATTTACAGCATTCAGTTTTGAGATGAGTGCAATCACAATGTAGTTTAAGAGATAATTTTCACATGAACACTTATTTACCAAAGCACAAACGCATGTACCTATTCATGTAACATTAAAATAAAATGGAAACAAATTGCATAATTTGGTATATAAAAAAATACAAAATGTTTTTGATTTTAATTCGACATTGGACTACGAGGAAAACAGTGGTTCATTCCACTTGTACCATATTGACATTATTATGCACGATGCTCGTTCAAACGAACGTCAGAAAAGTGTTGCCAACTTAAGCTGACTACTATTTCCCCCCTAGCCTCAGTCACCCCCTCATCCATTTACTGGGTCTATGTCGCGACCCCCTTAGATATACCAGCCCTGGTTAATACGTTCTTTTAAAATAAAAAACAAAACATATTGGGCAATCTACAAACGCTTGGATGAGTTTTTGAAAAGTATTTGGATCTTCCAGTTTAAAAAGAGTTCAACTGAATCTGGTTTTCTAGTCGTTACAGCTTTGATTAGTACGACGTTCTTATCAGTCAAAAACAGATTCAGTTGAACCACCCCTGAACTCAAGTGAACCAACAGAAACATGCTCTTAATATGAGATTGTAACTCATTTTTAACTCTTCGAATTAACTAATTAATCTGTTTCTGACAAATGATCCACCCTATATAAATAACGTGGCCATATTTTGATGCACCCAAAGGATCTTGGCTCACGTACGGAATACCAAATTCCCTGACGCGTTCGGCGTCCAAAATTGACCAGTCGAGATCGATTGTAGACTGTTCATTTCCTCGAGCGAATCGCCATTGTTAATTACAGATTAATTCGCGGTTTAATTAACACGTCTCACCGCCGCCGTGCCGCCGAAACACTATACATTCCCGCGTACTTACAGGGAGTGTCGGTGAACCAGGAAGTATTCCTACGACGAAAGGTTAGTTAGCACTTCGGAAGGAGTTTGTGTTGTTTTCACTTTTTTTTTAAATGATGATGGTTGGTTTTGTTTTTTGTTGTTTTTACTTTTTTTCTATGATGACAGTTGGTTTTATGTTGTGAGGTGTTTAAGTACAAGCGATACTTAGGGTTGGTTTTTAAATTACGGTTTAACATAAGGGTGAACTTGTGCTTCATGGTATGATTCCTGCAGGCATCAGTTTTAGCAACCCTTTTTGTATTTTTATAAATGACACAGTCACTAACATCGAACATATTATAGTTTTAATACATGCCGATGACCTAAAATTGAAAACTGAAACAATGTTATCTGCTGCTAACAGAAGCTTATGGTTAATTATACGAAGCTCTAGAACATTCTGTATATTTGCTCTGTACGTTCGAAACTTGAATACTGTTCTGTATCTTAAAACCCCGTACATAACAAATTTATATCTTAACTTAATTGAAAATTAATAAAATCTGCTTCCTACATTATGCGTGGTATATTATATTTTGCAAATGGATATCTCCATGATGTAATAATATCAGGATTCAATCTTTTTGAGCTAGTGAAACGCATAAATTTTCTACAGGTACGTCTTCATTATAATCTTCTGAATGGCTCAGTCGACGGCATTGATTTAAATTGTCAATTAAAAAATCCCCCATGTAGAGTTTTATTTGAGTTTCTATATGCCGGCTTTTAATGTTTTGAACTTTACTTATGATTGATATACCAATCAATTCAGAAATATTATTCTTGGATATATATGATTATAAATGTATATTGTTTCTCCTACGTTCAGTTTTTTTTATTTATGTGTTTACATTGTATTTTCTTTCTTATATTTTCTTGTTTTACATTTATATCAATTTATATCATATCAGTAATTGATGATTACTGTTGGGAGGTGTAATAAGTAATAAAGTAAATAAATTATTTAATTAAATTACCTCGTTATATAGAAGCTTGGAATCGCACTTCAATTGACTTAGAATATTCAGTCTTTTTCAAAAGTAACTCCATTTATCATTATCAACATGAATTAAACTTAGATCAACTGTACTGTGATTCTGGCGGGTGTAATTTTATTTTATAGTTTTGACACAAATGTAGAGTCGGCTCATATCAAATTACAGCCTCATTTTTCAATATTAAAAAAAATATTTTTGGGATATCTAGAAAAAACAATTATAAAGGTTTTGAATTTTCTTCAGGTGTTGCTTTGGCAGAGTGCCTAAAATGTCGAAAATGAGGATTTTACGACCTAATTTCGTGCTTCATTGGAAAAAAAAATTAACTTAGATTCATCCCCTAACAATATTTTAATCGAATAAAAAAATGTATGTATCTTTAAAAATAAACTGGTAGAACGTTATGAGCGGCGCCTTTACTTTTACAAGCACAAATTCAAACACCATCAAGTGGCGCCTCCGCTGGTAGAATGCACTTTGTTTATATAGACGGTGATAAACTTTTACAAGAACTTTTTTCTAAGTTTAAGTTAAAATTTATGTTCAAAGAAAATTTTAAAAATGAAATATTTATTTTTCTAATTATATATATCTTGTTTATACAAATAGAGATATTGCACAAAGTATATGTACCTCTAGTAGTATAGGGTGTCAGAGAGAGAGAGAGAGATATGCTTTATTGTCGTAAAAAAATTTACAAAAATTTTATAGACAAAGCGTGTAACTTAAATACTAAACATATTATAAAAATAACTAAACAGCAGAAAAAACAAACAGAAACAAACAGACAAAATAGGAATAACAATTGCAATGGATATGCAATATCCGTCATTATAATTATTCTAATTTAATTTTTAAATTTAAATTTAAATTTAAATTTAAACTTTAATATTTAATTATTTAATTAATGCCATTGTATGTGAAACTCAAATGTCTAAGGTACGTTATAAAATTCTGCTACTGTGTAATATGGTCTTTCTAGAAGAAAAGCTTTAGCCAGTCTTCGGAACTTATCGTATGTATTTATAGATTTTAATTGCATCGGAAGGTTATTATACAATTTTTTGGCATTGTAGGTAATGGAATGTTTTAATAGGTCAGAAGTGGGCATTGTTAAATAAACATCAGTCTCTAAATTTCTTGTAGGATATCTACGAGTCGGTCTTTCGGATAAATTTTGAATGTGCTTGCGAACTAAGCAGACGGATTCGAAAATAAATAGAGCAGGAAGGGTTAGAATTTTGAAATTTTTGAAGTAATTTTCGCAATGTGTCCTACTACTTAAACCAAATACATAGCGGATTGCTCTTTTTTGCAGTTTAAAAATAGATTCGAAAAGGTATAAGCTACAAGAACCCCAGAAAGGTAAACCATAGCGAAGGTGAGATTCGAATAAGGAAAAGTAGGTTATTAATGCAGTAGAAGGAGTCAGCTCTTTAGAAACCGATTTAATGGCAAAACATGCGGAGGATAATTTTTTTGCTAAGGTATCTATATGAGCAGACCATTTTAGAGAATCGTCTATAAAAGACCTAAAAACTTGATTGAAGTCACCGTTTGGATTAGATTATTGTTTAAAGTTATAGGTTGTAAAGTACCTCTGTAAGACAATGCTACAGTTTTACTGGTGTTGAAACAAAGTTCATTCGAATCAGACCAGGACTTAATAGTCACTAGATCTTCACTTATGATAGATTGTAATGTCTGCATGTTAGAATTATTCCAGGTTACACTGGTGTCATCAGCAAATAAAGTAATTCTACCACTTATTCTTAAGTCTGTGATGTCGTTGATGAATAATAAAAACAAAATTGGACCTAATACTGATCCTTGAGGTACTCCACTGCTTATTGCTAGATTTGTAGAATCCTCACCATTCGCCCGCACCTGTTGATTTCTATTTTCTAGGTAAGTTCTAAACCATTGTAAAGGAGAACCCCGTATGCCATAAATTTGTAACTTATTAATTAAAATATCATGATTTACACAATCGAAGGCCTTTGCGAAGTCACAAAATACTGAAGCGGTGAAAAATTTATCATTAAGTGATGTGTATATTTCATTAAGAACGGAAAACATTGCGTCGCTAGTGCATAGCAGAATTTTGACGAGAATAAAAATGCACAGTCTATATTGTAGGTATGGTAAAATATCCTTCGCACACTATCACTCTGGTATTTCTGGAAAATAAAATGGTACACAGATATATTTGTCACTTCTAGAAATATATACGAAATAAAAAGATTACGTTTTAACTAGGTACTACTACAACAGTACTTAGTGATTTATAGGACCATAAACTTGTTTAATTTTTCACTTTAAAATGTTACATTATATACTAAAGTTTTTAAAAATGACAAAAAAATACAAAACGATAACTAACATTTTATTGATATAGACAGAAATTGCACATTTTTTTTATTTATTAGGTTGGTATAGGATGTTTTATGGATGAAGTAAATTTGAACGGTATACATTCCGAATGGTGTGACTTAATTTAAAACAATATACATACATCTTTTTTGAAATTTACAAAAATACAAAGAAACGAAGTTAGAAATAAGAGAAGTCACATAGGTACTTTACTAACAAACAAAAAAAAACATTTATAAGAAAGAAAAAAACAAGATAATGTGGTAAATTAACCCGTAACTGGTATGGCGGGGTCCTGTAGTACCCAGCAGTTTTCTTTTTGTGCGTAATTTAAAGAATGTCTGCCAGGTGGCGCCGTCCGTCTCAGTACCTTTCAGCCGATGTGTTTTGAGTGGGGGAATGTATTGTTGCCCTCTTTATCTGTCAGTGTACGAAAACTATCAGGAGTGTTCTGTTTGGGGACACCATACCAATAGACCTATATTTTTTTCTTACCCAGCATCTTGTTTTAAACGTTGCAATGGCAAGTTCAAAATGAAAAAACATGAGGGCAGATGACCCCCAGCCCCGGTTTGAAGAATGGGCACTTGAAACTTTGGATGAATTGGAGGGTGATTTTAGCGGGAATGACGACGATGTGGAGCCGGACTTTGTCTCTGAGCATGGCAGCAACTCAGAAACAGAAATCGCGTACGAACAAGATGGTGAGGATCAGAACGGAGAGGAAGAAGGGGAAAATATAGCTGATGATGAGACAGAGCTGTCAATGACATCCAGTACCGTAAGATCGAAATCATATTACGGTAGAAATAGATTCAAATGAAGTAATAAACCTCCGATTTCTAATGTTCGAAAAAAGAATTCACAATATCATATCTCACGTTCCGGGTGCCATCGGACCAGCAGGATTATTGGGAAATGCTTGTTCAGAGGTTGACGCATGGAATTACCTCATTACCGATGAGATTTTACAGCAGATAAATTATAAGCTGCAAAATATGAGAGATAAGTTCTCCATAAATAATAAATATTTGGCTGGTGATGTTGATATCACGGAGCTGAGAGTTTTTTGGGCCTCTTGTTTTTCTGAGCAATTTTCAAATCTAATAATGAAGACTTGGCATTATTGTTTGCAACAGATGAGACAGGACGCGAGAATTCAGGTGCACTATGTCGCAGAAGCGCTTCAGTGTTTTGCTCACCGCTTTGAGGTTTGACGATAAGGAGACCTAGGTGAAAAGAAAAAAAACGGCTGCAATTTCTTATATTTTTCAAGAATTCATTAGTAACTGCAAGAAAAACTATTCGATTGGTGAATATGCCTGTATTGATGAGATTCTTGTCGAACTTCGAGGTAGATGCAAGTTTTAAATGTATATGCCCAACAAACCGCGGAAATATGGAATCTAAATTATCTGCCTGAACGACACAAGAACACATTACCTTCTGGATGTCTATATACATTCAGAAAATGACAGTGATGGCGATACATTGTCAGAAGAAGAGAAGAAATTCGGCAAGCCTACACAATCCATTCTTCGCTTAGTAAAATCCATTGAAGGTTCTAACAGAAACCTTACAGCCGATAACTGGTTCTAGTCAAAGGAGTTGGTGAATGAGCTCATAAAAAGAAATCTGACCTACGTAGGCACACTCAAGAAAAACAAAAAAGAGATACCCAAAGGGTTTTTGCCGTCGAGAACTCGACCTGCATATTCTTCGCGGTTTGGGTTCACCAACAAAGTAATTATAACATCGTATGTCCCACAGATCGGAAAAGCTGTTATCCTGATATCCTCAATGCACCATACAGCCACTGTGAATGAAGATGACCAGAAGAAGCCGGAAATAATTTAATTTTACAATTGCACCAAAGGCGCAATCGACGCGTTGGATGAAAAATGTACTATCTACGGGTGCAACAGGCGTTCCAAGCGATGGCCTCTCACAGTCTTTTATGAAATTCTAAATATTTCTTTGGTGAATGCCTTTATTATTTTCTCTGCTAAAGGAGATAATCCCGAAATTTCAAGATATCAGTTTATAAAAAACTTAGCAAGGCAACTTGTTGTTCCACATATGGAAAGAAGAGCTGAGGATAAACATGTACCCAGGCCTCTGAAACAGAATATTTTTTGTATTTTGAGAAATGATGTTCCTAAGCCACCAAAAGAGGAAACATCTCAACTACAGAAGCGAGTAAGGTGTACCAAGTGTCCACGTAAGCAAGACAAGAAAGCCAATGTTGCATGCAGTGTTTGTCACCTACCAATTTGTAGAAGTGATTGCTTAGAAAACCGCTTGTAGTTTTTGGCTTCCTATTTAAAAAATGTAGTTCCAGTTGTTTTTTTATTTGGGCTTGAGTGTAAATTTTCAGTTAAAAAATTTGAAAATGTGATGTTTCATTTGTTACCATGAGATGAACTCAAAACGCTTCATGGTTTTTTCGAAACCGATATTTTTATTTTTTCTTGTTTTTAAATAAAAGTTCTACACACTCCGAAAATTAAACAAGGAACAATCATACAGTTTTTATTTGGTTTTATGTTGAATTAGCGGCTTGGATTTACTCAACTACATGTATTATATTCCACTCGCTAAGTCCGAACCTGAATGTGCAGCGCTTAAATTGTAATTGCAAGATATTATTCATCTCAAGTCGTTTCTCACTTTAAAGAATAGAGTCAGATATAGTAAGAGGTCCACCCTCCTTGTGCCTCTGACCGCTCCCCCCCGGATGTACAATTGGTTAGCTCGACCGGTAGATGCATGTTAAAATAAAGTGCTATAAATATCAAATAAAAAAAAATTAAGCTACTTTAAAAATAACTACAATTTAAAAAATCTTTTAAACCATGACAAATAAAAATTAAATTTTTTTTTATTTATTTCAGTTGCTGTGACGCCCCAGACGGCCAGAATTTGAACTTTGTGGGAGACAATCCGGGATATTATAGGTGAGTTGTCAAAACTTAATTATCTGTACAGACAATTATTTTAGTCCAAGAGTAATTTTCTATTTTATAAGCGACAGACTATAACCCTTTTAGTTACGAAACTTTTTTCGCACGAGTCCTCTATATGCAACGTGACAGGTGATAAGAAATTCAAAGTGAATTATGTAGGATTCACATTAAATGTTTAAGTATGTTTTTCTACTGCTTGTTTAGAAATTGTGTATTTTAAATACACCTAAATAAAATTAGGAAAATGATTTTTAAATTTCGTTTTGTTACTTCCTAGAAAACTTTAATTTTGCTGTGAGATTTCGAAGATCAAAAATGTATTTTAAATACTAATCGTAGAAATAAATTATGTACGAACTTTCTAACAACAATGCACAAAACTTGAGAATTTTGGAATACGTTACTTAAAACGAACAGACCCTTAAATTTCCCATAGCACAAAGCGTCTGCAGCAATTTGCGATCAGCCCCGGCTCATACCGGTCGTATTTTTTCGTTCATTATCTTAACGCTCACATTGCAGTTTGGAAACAGTTTGGAGCACCTAGAAATTTCCGTTCATTAATTTACCTTCTTCGCCAGTCGAGTAGAACTTCGGGGACTCCAAATTATAATGACTGTATCTTAATTTTGATACTTCAACGAACAGGTGAGATATTGGCGAAGGTTTTCAGTTGGCAGCCCTTACTTGCAAGCTTGCAAATTTGATCTTCGTTTGACCCAAATATGCAGAACAACGATGTTCTTGATTGCACAGCCAATGGCGGCACGAGCGGTGTGATGAAGCGGGTGTGTCATCAAATAGAATAGACATTTGGCTTCTAAAGGTATATAAGGCCCGTTTCTTGTATTATGTGCTAATCTTACTCTATTTTAAAGTATTACAGAACGAAGACGAGTAATTGGGAAATTATTTGACTCTTTTGAGTAATATTAATTACAGCGAACTCTAATTTAATGTCTAGATCTGTCAGTAAACAAAAGTAACATTTTTGGCTAAATCACATTAGTTCTGTGGATGTAACTTTTAAAAACAAACAAAATTAAGGTACTATAAATTAATATAAAGTAAATTAATAATTTTAGATAAATTCAATTTGTTTTAAAAATTAAATCTTCCATTTTTAACTGTTACTAAAATGTATACGATTTACAGAATTATCCTAGACCTATTTTATGTAGAGTGGAATCACCGCTATAGTGATAGTGTTAAGATTTGTCTTTCTTTGTGATTAAATTGATAGTGTGAAAGTTAGTGAATAAGTAATTATTAATTATTATTATACACACGGAAGCAGTACAGAGGTATTTGAAGATTTGAGAACGAGCCTGAAACGGCGCTTGGCCCAAATTAGCACATCAAACTACAGTCTAGAGATCTCGACAGTCAATATCGTAATGGTCTAGAGGTAGGACATTTATCTACAGAACAAAAGTGTGTGGGTTCGAATTCCAGTTATGACAGGCTTTTTTTCAAATCTCCAAGAATTTGTTTTTATCTTTGGGGTTCAGAGATGGTCTTAATAATTCGTAAAGATATTTTTGAGATTTGTTTCTTAGATCTTTAATGTAATGCCCAAAGACGCAGGTAGATCTAAAATTCGCCCCCATACAATATCTTACCTTGGTTAAGTTTTATGCCTGCTACCCTCCCGCAATATAACCAAGGTTCTGGCAAGAGGGCTAAATCTGGACCCTCTTTGTCAAATCTCCAATATTCTGTAGCGGTGGCCGCCTTGACATGATGGAGGTTCACCTGAAGAACTCTTCCAGAGATTCAGGATCAATCGAAAAAGCCCACGTCTGTTCTTTTTTTAAAGGGGTTTTACTCCACACTGTCCAAAGGTGTGTATTTAACCAATGAGTGGCTATTTTCAGTCTTTTGAAGATTTTTCCGCTTCGGGCTTTTGTCCTCTTCTGGCGGGGACGAATATTGTGCAAGCTAGTGGCTTAAGGATATCGTCACTCTCCAACGCTTTTAGAGTTGCCCCTTGCAAACGTTTGATAGTTGTGACGATGTCCTGCAATCATTTTGCGCAGGTCACTACCAGATAGTCTGGTTTGTGACTGCATTTTGCGAACCTCACATGTGTTCCCTCTGTAGCAATTTTATCGTGGGTCTCAGAGACCAAGTCTTTTCTTACTATTTCTGAACTTAGTTTGTTTACCGGGTACCCTACTGCAACCACTGCAACTTTCACTGAGGTAAGGATCTTTTTCAATGAGACTTCGTCCGTCCTAGCCTTTCCTCACTTGGCTGACCTTTGGTGGTATCGCGTCTGTTGAACGTGGGCGCTTTAAAGCTTCTGTGCCTTAGTTGGCAGCTTCCTTCATCTTGATTTCTTTAGACTTTATCCTCTGAGGGATTTTGTGGCTTTGTTGGGGCCCTTTTAAAATGTTCCTTAATCCTTAATCCTCGGAAATTTGGTCTACCTTTTCCAGGAAGCAGACGACGACTTTACGCCTCTTTGCTAGCTTTTCAGCCTTTGCAGGAGACGTTGCCTTCATCGTATCTGTTTTTAAGGTTGACGCTGTTGCCTTATATTGTTGAATTTTGTTGTTGTTGTTGTTGTTGTTGTTGTTGCTCTTTTTAGAATTTGTATTTCATCCCACGAGTAGCTAAGGAAAAACAGTCTGCTACGCAGAGCGTCGTATGTTGTACTAAGGTCTTGATAGTTTGGGATATATATTCCGTTTGCTATATCTTGACCCATCGGTACAGATTACGGCAGTTTCCGTAAAGGATTTTGGATATTTTTTCAAATAAATTCAAATTTATTTGAGGCATTAAATGTTTGTAGGCACAAATTCAGTTAATAATGAAACTATTTAAAAACAGTACTATTGTGTACTGAGGTTACTTTGATTCCGAGAGTGTTTTATATGCCGCTTATTATAATAATTATAATGTTATTGATACCATCTTCCATAGTACTGAGTAGAGATGTTAAGCATGTCAATATGAAAAAATCACATCCATTTTTTTTTTCGGAAAGGGTACATTTGTACGATATCGGACAAGATTGACTTTTTTAAGTTAAAACCTTAGGGCCGATTGCACCATCACCATTTAATTGTTTTCCTTAGAAAACTTCTACTTAATAATAAGTTTCCCTTAAATAAATGTTTCTTTGCACCAAGCTGATTGTTGTTTCTCTTACTAAAGGTAAACTTTACATTTTTAGAGCCACTGAAATTTATCTGTGACTAACTTCAGTAAATGTTTTTGACAGATATGTGAGGTTATGATACGATTATTTAAAATATTTATTTTATTATCATTATTTTATGTATGGTAAAGTGTTTAAAATTTAAACAAATAAACTTTATAAGAGGAAAATAATTTGTTATATGCAAAGATCCTTCCTCCATAAAAAAAAATATTCAAGTGCTTAGTTATGGGTGAGTATGATAACTGTATACTTTTACAAGTCAAGAAGATTAAAAAATATTCACTTGGAATTAGTTTAGTTACCTTAGTTTTGTTTCATTTGAACTAAACTGAACAATTTCTATATTTAGAAAGCTATATTTCATAAAAAGAAGAAGGTCGCAAAATTTTACAAATAGTGACAAATCCTTGCTTTTAAATATATTTAGTCAATTTAAACATATTATAGAATAAAAAAAAATGAACAAAGTAACTTTAAAAAAAAAAGGAAACTGTTTAGAAGAAAATAACAGCTCAGTACAATATTGAACCAAAAAGAGCAAGAATACAAAGAAACACATTGCCTAAAAAAAATTGTATAACATTAAAATAAATATACGCAAAGAAGTAGCTAATGAAAAAGCTTCATTTCGTTGTACAGGAGGGGGAAGTAACACTTATGTTTTGGTGTAACAGATTAAGGTAACCTTAGCTACTTTAAGTGTAACTTATCGTTAAGGAAGAGTTGATGCAAATGGGCATAATTCTTCCAATTTAATGATAGAAATGTTAAAAACTAGCAGATAAAATAGTTATTAAAAATGCCCGTTGCCCTCCCCCTAATGGGACGTTTATATTCGCAATAGAAAAATTGTTCCTGCTGCTTTTAATTGATCATAAAACACCTAGTATTCGTACCAATTAAAAAGTTTAAAATCACTGAATTCTGGGCATTAAAGAAATAGAGACATTTTTTGTGTACGTATTTGGAAAATAAACTCGTTTTCATTTTATGAGGAAGGTCTATTTTGTAAAAGTTTCCAGAAACTCCTAAGGTTAATTTTATTGATCAATATTTCCCGAGTTAAATTGCAATGATCACATATTTTTCTCAACACAGATATAGTAAATCTCTAATACCAAAAATTATAATACTTGTATGCACATTTCGCGTCAAATCCTTCCATTCTCTACGTCAAATCCAAGCAGCATTTCGTTCCTCTTTTTTTTTTCCGCTCGTTTTCAATGTATGCAAATCAGCGGTAATTAGTCTCTAACACGTCTCTTTAGTTCTCTCCGATTAGTCGACAAAACGATCAACTAAAAGGTAATTTTCAAGAATCGGTTGGCCGTAAAAGTCCGTCCAAACGAAATTAGACCTCCCTTATTGGATATTTACTATGCACTAAAGCGCCTCGCGCGTATTAAAACGCTGAAAGTTAAATTATTGGTTAATTAGAACGGCACCAATTAAAAGGGACCTTAACGCCGAACTCCCGGTAATTAGATAAAAGGAGAGTTGTAAATTGAATTTGGGCTTTAAAACAATTAGAAGATGTTCGGTTTGTGGACAGAGGAACACGTTTCGTAAGAGAAGGGTACACCGAAAAAACTGATTTATTTCGTTTGGAGAACGTTATGCGAAAGCATAGCGAGTTCATTGTTGTACTTTTTAACAGTGATGGCAAAATCAGATGAATACATCGAAAGTCAGAAATTCAATTTATTTTCGTTCAGGCAGTCAAAATAATATTATATTATTAGTATGTAAATAAAACACTCTAGACAATAAAAACAATGATGAAACGTAAAAACTTGAATTGCCAACTTGTTTAATAAGTTACATTACATACTGAACAGCCTCCTCCTTTCGGCATTCTTCGGAGTTTAGAGCATAAACTCTCACAATTCCCGCTGGAAATTATTCAGGACAACTTCACAGCTCCGCAACTTCTCAGTTTTGAGTTCCCTCCGGAGACTAGGCCACATGGCGGGCTCTGGATTAGCGGTTGGAGACAATTAGACATGCTTGTGGATTTTGCATGAGGAGAAGCCGGGGAGCTTTGGGGTATTTGGGGAGTTTTGTCGACAACGACAAGGCGCGATATTGACGAAATATGTTGATTTTTCTTTTTAGTTACTGAGTAAGGGTAATAACACAAGAACTAACAATTTTACCAAGGTACAGCTACGACCCAAGCAATAATTTGATTGGTCTAGAGCTGTTTAGTATCGAATATATAACCTAAGTTTCCTAGTATGATAACTAAATGATTATTTTTAATGTTTAATATTAAAATTCCAAAAATAAGGTCGACGCATAATATTACTGACATTCGTGATTGCATTAAGATAAAAAATAATGCCAAGTTATGCTATGCAAAGTCTCAGAATACTGATCAGTTTTGGGCCTTAAATAAAGAGTGTAGAACAGACGTGGTTGTTATCCAAAACTCCCTGTGTATTATACAACAAAATATCACTATATTGAATTTAAATTACGAAAAAAATATTATCTTCATAAAAATAGCACTTAAATTGACGAACAACCACTGACCTCATCCAGTAACAAACGTTTTTCGAAATCCTCGGGGGCTATCTATCGCCGTAGCCCTAAAAATGGGTCAAAGCCCATCGGATCTCTTTCCTTATTTATTATCCAAGGATGAGTGGATTGTCTCCTGTCCTTACACGATAACGCCGCTCTGACAGCCATATCTCCAAAATGGAGGCGACAGGCGAGCAACTAAGGCGGGGTTTACGCGGGATTACACCCAGAACCATGGCTAGATGGGATAAATTGCGCGTTTGTTCGGCCCGGAGGTGTTTTTAAGGCGAAAATGATTCAGGTCGGACTGTGGGGTATGAATGTTTGAAGGTCGATCGTTCATTGTAAAGGTTATACAAAAAAAATGTCCAATAACGTGGAATAAAAGGGTGTTTTTATATAAATTAAGAATACAGTGTGGGGCAAATTAAAGGAATAAAATAATTTTGTCATTTCTGGCTGATTTTTAAATAAAAATCGTTAAATTGGTGACTTCATCGATGATTTTTTAAATAAAAAGTGATTTATAGCATATATAATTTGAAGGAACTTTTAATTATCTGTGTTATTAATAAGTTTAATGACTTCCAGACCTAATTGCGGCATCTCGTTCTGTATGAGTTCTGTAAGTTCATTGATATGTTCTGATTTATTTTCAAAAATAAATTAAGTGGTGTTAAATCTGGCAACCTAAGTGGTTATTCGATTGATCCTCTTCGTCCAATCCACCTATTTGGAAAGACGTTGTTCCAGTAGTTTTTCCTCAAGACAGCATAATATGGAGGCAATCCAACTTGGTGTAGTCACAAATCATTAATGTTTAGGAACAACCAAATCAGTTGGAAAAATATTTAAAAATCGGAAGATTAACTGAGGAGAGTTAGGGGATGAAAATTGAATTTAAAACAATCAGTATTAGATATCAAGCTGCAAATCCTGCAGAAATATATACAAAAGAAGTGAACAAGTTTTTGAGAATATTTGTAGAAACAGATTATAATACTAAGTGGAAAATCATATAGGAGAAGTAGAATTTTATTCAAATAATATCTCTATTGACACATGAGAGTCCAGTGTATATGATAAGAAGCATTCTGAAAAAAAGAAAGTGGGAAGTAGTGACGAAGGAGAAATATAAAAGGTAAATTTGAGACTAAAAAGAAATGCGCAAAAATATACAGGGTGGCGCATCCTATACAGGTCGGTCTTTGTGGGAAAAACGACAATATTTGATTTTTTTCTCAATAGGGATATACAGGGCCATTAACACTACAAACTAAAAATAATTTGAATAATACAGGGTGACCCAAAAATACGAATTTATATGTTTTTTTTAAAGTGAACACCCTATATTTGATGGTGTCTTTTGATTCCCCGGAAAAAATAAAGTAAAGTTTCTAAAATGTTTCCTTTACCTATCTCTTTTCGTTTTTGAAACATTTAAAGGATTCTTAATTCGTAAGCTTGAACAACATAACCTAGTATGTCGCGGTTATTTAAAACACATCAACAGTCACATGCGATATGCGTAGCCAAAATATTAGACTATCAAATAAAATGCAAATTTTTCCATTACATCATACAGGGTGCTCATTTAGTCTATTTGAATTCGACTTACATATGGAATTGAATAATATTCCTATTTTAAATGGCACACTCTGTATTTAATAACATAAACTGATAGACATTTAAATTATCTTTCATTCCATATAAGATTCGATGGATATTTAGTAAATGGCTGTTTTTTATTTTTAACATTCAGATTTTATATTATTTTTTAATCATAGTAACCATAGAGCAAATATCACTCAAAATATGGTATTGAACGAAATAAACATTTTTATCACTTTTAAATGTTAAATAGTTTCATTGTAAATCAAAACTATGATTTTTTTAATAAAAAAAAAACATTTAATGACAAGAAAATTTGAATTATTTGAAAACTACACACAAATGAAAAAGAGTAAGAAACAAATTGAAAACAAAACAAAAAATTAATTATAAAAAAAGTTCAAAGTGACGCCCATCTTGTTATAAACACAACTGAACTCGTTTTTCAAAAGATCGTTCCACTTTGAGAAAAATTTCTCCAGTTACTGTCTAAAAAGCAGCTCTTATTCTAGCTTTCATATCTTCCGGAGTAGTTGGTGAGGTGTTATAAGCTATTCTTTGTATGTGTCCCCATAAAAAAAATCCAACGACGTCAAGTCTGGAGATCTTGGAGGCCAATTATGTAGACCTCCTATTCCGATCCATTTATTAACAAAACGCCGGTTTAAGTATCGCCGTACTCGAAGTTGAAAATGTGCAGGGGCTCCATCCAACTGCATCCACATTTTCTGCCTAGTATTTAAAGGTACATTATCAAGGAGCCCAGATAATTTTCTCCGCAAAAATTTTATAAATTTTCTGCCATTAAGATGGATGGTAAAAAAAAATAAGGACCAATAACATGTAAACCTAATATTCCTCCCCACACATTCAAGGGCGTGAGGATTTTTATCACTATAATAATGAAAGTTATGGCGATTACTGAGTCCATTATTATACAACGTGCACTCGTCCGAAAACAGAACATTACCAAAAAATCCGCATCCGATTCTACTTTATCCATAACATATAAACAAAAATCGATTCTTTGTTGAAAGTCCCTTTGATACAGTTCTTGGTGCAGCTGTGTTTTATAAGGATGAAATTTATGTTTTTTTAATTATTCGTCCAATACTTCTAGTTATTCCAGTTTCCCTACTAATAACCCGATGACTTGTGTGTGGGTTTTCTATTAGTGATTCAATAACCCAAAATTCATTATAATGATCTCCTACAATAGGTTGAGGCTGAATAATTTTTTTATTGGGTATTTTTGCCCGAGGGGTAAACCGCTACCAAAATTTTGTACACCGGACTTCCAAACTTCCATACCTTCTACTTTCCGTGGACTTCTACGGACTTTTATGGATTTTCTTGGACTTCCAGATAACTTCCTCTAATTTAAACATGACTCCAATGACTTCCAAATGACTTCCACTGACTAACCTGATTTCCAGATGACTTCAACTGACTTCTAGATGACTTCACTTGACTTCAGGATTACTTCCAGTGACTTCCACAAACAATATAAATAACTAAAGGATTGCTTCGTTTAATTCTGTTTTATTTGATCAGTTTGATAATTGAAGGCTTAAACCATCATAGACCCTAAAGTCTAAAAGATATTAAGTTATGTGGAAGGGTATATTACAAAGTCCACGTCTACGTAGATGAGGATGTGAAATTAACAGAACCGCTAGATTTCTTATTATCACAACTAAGGGTTTACACTCAGAGGGTTTATCTAAGAAGAGGTCACTTACACTTTTTTAGCTAAAATAAAGGTTGTATTTATCCTTACTAATTTTTTATTAAAGTAGATACAGCAGAAATTTATTTTAAACAAAATTGACAAAATGTGATCATTCAATTAATAATAAATTATATAAGGCGACACTAAAAGTAACGTCTATTGTCAATCGATTCTCTGGCATGCTAAAGTGGGAGGTTATAACCATACCGAAGCCGACGATTTTTTCATTTGGTCAGAGTATGTGTCTGTCTTTCATTTGAATGGTAATTTTATGGAGAATTCAACAATATGACTATTAAATTCGTTGATTTTTTTAGCGCCCTCTAAATGGATAAAAAAACTGTTACGTTTTGTAAAGTGTGACACTTCATTTGAAAGATATTTTTATTAGCGATTTATGTACAGCGCAAATTTATTATTTTAGTTCAATGAGATTATAATTTTTTTATATCCATACGTTAGAAATCTGCACCATTTTTCAATTATTAGAGTTCATGTAAATAATATTAAAACAATTATGTTTTGTTATATTGTGAATTAAATTCCTAATCAAAATTGCTTTCAAATAAAGTGCCACACTGTAAGTTTTTTAATCCCGCTAGAGGGCGCTTAAATAAAAATTACCCAAATGAATAGTCATGTTGCTGAATTTTATAAATTCTAGGGGTTTAAACCATGAAGGCTAAAAATATTCATTAAAAGTGTCCCCTTTGAAAATAAGATTACCATGTCTTTTTGATTTTTCGTACTATTTACTGGAAGGAATATACAGGGTGTCTATTAAAGGTCTTTACAAAAACATACTACAGGTTCCTTGGACCAAAATAAGCCGATTTAAGTAAATTTAACTCAGTACAAAGTTGCTCAGTTTGGTCGCTATACATATTTCTTATTTGTATTCACGTTTTAGTAAATAAATTTTTCTTTAAAACCTACACTCTAAATTATTAAATTTTAAATGTGCGAGTAATAAAAAAATTCAAGTTCTACGCCAAAGGATTAATATTAGTGAATAATTATTTCGATACATTTTTTTGTCAAGTAAAACTGTCAACATAATAAATTTAAGCAGAATCGAATGAGCCGTTTTAAAATTATAAAGAAGAAACGATCTTTGTATTGAGGTAAGTTTACTTAAATCGGCTTATTTTGGTT